TTTTCATAATCAATAATTAGTTTTTCCTCATGAAATCATACAGCAAGTTTGGTTGGTTTGGTTAGTTTAGAACAGTTTCATTTCATAATGAACCATTGTTTTTTCCTCGTGAAATCATACAGCAAGTTTGGTTGGTTTGGTAAGTTTAGAACAGTTTCATTTCATAATTAACCATTACTTTTTCGTCATAAAATCATACAGCAAGTTTGGTTGGTTTAGAACAGTTTCATTTCATAATCAACAATTATTTTTTTTCTCAACAAGTGAGTGTTCGTAAGATCTTACATGTTGAAATCTTAACTGCAGTACTTTGCTATTAAAAACGAGATTTTGCGAGAAATACAGAGGGAATTCAGGTTAAATTGAGGGAATTCTAGGGGTAGGGCCTAATTGTGGTACGGTGACCTGTCACTGCAACTGCATTGCTATTGTTTGTGGTTTGTGGTAAAACAGATCAACAGATGATGCAATTGTGCAGATTTCGGATTGGCTGATGATTTCTTTCGTGTAGTAATCTGATTGGCTGGTGGTTTCGTTGTTAGTTGTTTGTTTTGAACTGTCTCCATGACTCCATGCTGTTAGTTCAAAGTGAAGTAGTGACAAAGGAGGACGTAGCTCAAATTTGTGATTAATTTTCATTATGATTGTGTCGGAAAATCGCGTTCGGACATTATGTAGAGAACGGGGTGGTTCCTGGTGAAATATGTGGATACCTATCAATATGTATTTGTTGGACGAAGTGATTTTAATTTTCGTTGTAGGCTAGTTGCTGTTGCTGGTGCTCTCCGTGCGTGCCGGTTTTGGTTATCTTTGACTTTGAGTGAGACAGCAGTAAATTATATGTCGAGTACATCTTCCTCGTGAATTTTTCACATCGATGTAGTGAATCCAACATTCTTCAAGTGTGGAATTGTGTAAAATTGGTGTATATTTAGTATTTGGAGGAACTGTTGTTAGGGTCGGTTTTATTAAATTCCAGTCAATATTTGGGACTGGAATTGCTTTTCCCCCAATTAATTAGTATCCTCCAAAACTTCATTTTATACACTTTTTACTTTTTACACAATTTCACACTTCAGAAAGTGTTTTTAAGCTGGGGTCTGGGTCCCAAATGTTTACAAATTTTACAATTGTTCAGTACCGTAGCCTAAGTTAAACAATCTTAATTTCTGGTGACAAGTTAAAGGATTCCCAGTCACCTTTATGTGCATTATAGCCTAACTTAAGGCTAGTCTACCCTACTGTACAGAACTGCTAAATTGGCCATTGCCTTTCAGGCTCTTCCTCGCTCACGTAGGATAACAAGTAGGCCTAGCCTAAGTTAGGCTATACCTATATCCGCCACAAGATACTAGAGCTAAGATTGCATGGCTGTGCCATACTCTTCAATTCTCTGTATCTTACTTAAGTTATCTGTGGTTGCAACTTGTGTGAACCTGGCAATAACTCGGCAATAAGTAGTGCGCGCGCCCGAAAAAATCTATTGCTAGCAGTTTTGCGGCAAAATACGTCCGCGAACCATATTACCAATAATGCCACCAGATAGAGGACACTTTAACGGACACGACAGTATCAAAATTATGTACCTGGGGAGTAGAATAAGGGGGGTAAAACCAGCAATAAGTTATGCGCGCGCCCGCTAAAATCTATTGCTGGCCGTGTTGCGGCAAAATACGTCCGCGAACCATATTACCAATAATGCCACCAGATAGAGGACACTTTAACGGACACGACAGTATCAAAATTATGTACCTGGGGAGTAGAAAATCTCCCAAAATCTAAATCTCAATGTGGATAAAACAAGTATCATAAATTTTCAAACTCGAACTACCAGAAATCAACGTCGACCGATTATTAAATTTAATAATAAAGCCATTGAAGTTAAGGATAGTACTAAATTTTTAGGATTAGTAATAGATAAAAGACTAAATTGGAACTGTCATGTTGAAAAAGTACTTTCAAAAGTTTCTTCCGGATTATATGCCTTAACTAGATTAAAAAACTATTGCGAAATAGAAACTTTGAAGTTGGTTTATTTTTCATACATACATTCAGTGATTTCATTTGGGATTTCCCTTTATGGCTCAACCAATAAGAGAAACTTAAAATCTATATTAAGAATGCAAAAAAAAAGCTATAAGAATAATTTACAACCTTCCACCTAGAACTTCTGTTAAGAGAAAGTTTAAAACAGAAAATATAATGACAGTTTTCGGTATGTATGTTTTTGAAACAGTGGTCTCCGTTAAAAACAGATTTCATGAAATAGAGCTGGTTGGAAAGAAACATGATTATCTTACAAGAAATCGAGGCAAGTTAGCATTAAGTCCTCATAAATTGCGTCTTTTCGAAAAAAAACCCAAATACGCCGGAACAAAATTCTATAATCAACTTCCAAAGGACATACAAGCAGAAGTAAATATAAAAAAATTTAAAAACAAACTTAAGAAATTTCTCATTAGCAGGGCTATTTATTCATTTGATGAACTATAATTGACTTTTCTTTCCCTACTAATCAAAGTATGTTTTTACTGTTAGTTTTTTGTTCTTTTACAATTTTTCCCATTTACTATAAGCATGTAAATTTTATTATAACTTATAAGAAATGTGACACTATTCATGTATATTTTTAATGTACCTACTTTATGAATAAAGATAATTTGAATTGAATTGAATTGAATTGAATTGAATAGAATAAGGGGGGTAAAACCAGCAATAAGTTATGCGCGCGCCCGCTAAAATCTATTGCTGGCCGTGTTGCGGCAAAATACGTCCGCGAACCATATTACCAATAATGCCACCAGATAGAGGACACTTTAACGGACACGACAGTATCAAAATTATGTACCTGGGGAGTAGAATAAGGGGGGTAAAACCAGCAATAAGTTATGCGCGCGCCCGAAGAAATCTATTGCTGGCAGTTTTGCGGCAAAATACGTCCGCGAACCTTATTACCAATAATGCCACCAGATAGAGGACACTTTAACGGACACGACAGTATCAAAATTATGTACCTGGGGAGTAGAATAAGGGGGGTAAAACCAGCAATAAGTTATGCGCGCGCCCGCTAAAATCTATTGCTGGCCGTGTTGCGGCGAAATACGTCCGCGAACCATATTACCAATAATGCCACCAGATAGAGGACACTTTAACGGACACGACAGTATCAAAATTATGTACCTGGGGAGTAGAATAAGGGGGGTAAAACCAGCAATAAGTTATGCGCGCGCCCGAAAAAATCTATTGCTGGCAGTTTTGCGGCAAAATACGTCCGCGAACCATATTACCAATAATGCCACCAGATAGAGGACACTTTAACGGACACGACAGTATCAAAATTATGTACCTGGGGAGTAGAATAAGGGGGGTAAAACCAGCAATAAGTTATGCGCACGCCCGCTAAAATCTATTGCTGGCCGTGTTGCGGCAAAATACGTCCGCGAACCATATTACCAATAATGTCACCAGATAGAGGACACTTTAACGGACACGACAGTATCAAAATTATGTACCTGGGGAGTAGAATAAGGGGAGTAAAACCAGCAATAAGTTATGCGCGCGCCCGAAGAAATCTATTGCTGGCAGTTTTGCGGCAAAATACGTCCACGAACCATATTACCAATAATGCCACCAGATTGAGGTCACTTCAACATGACAGTTCCAATTTAGTCTTTTATCTATTACTAATCCTAAAAATTTAGTACTATCCTTAACTTCAATGGCTTTATTATTAAATTTAATAATCGGTCGACGTTGATTTCTGGTAGTTCGAGTTTGAAAATTTATGATACTTGTTTTATCCACATTGAGATTTAGATTTTGGGAGATTTTCTACTCCCCAGGTACATAATTTTGATACTGTCGTGTCCGTTAAAGTGTCCTCTATCTGGTGGCATTATTGGTAATATGGTTCGCGGACGTATTTTGCCGCAACACGGCCAGCAATAGATTTTAGCGGGCGCGCGCATAACTTATTGCTGGTTTTACCCCCCTTATTCTACTCCCCAGGTACATAATTTTGATACTGTCGTGTCCGTTAAAGTGTCCTCTATCTGGTGGCATTATTGGTAATATGGTTTGCGGACGTATTTTGCCGCAAAACTGCCAGCAATAGATTTTAGCGGGCGCGCGCATAACTTATTGCTGGTTTTACCCCCCTTAACCTACTCCCCAGGTACATGATGTTAATACTGTCGTGTCCGTTAAAGTGTCCTCTATCTGTTGGCAATATTGGTAATATGGTTCGCGGACGTATTTTGCCGCAAAACCGCCGGCAATAGATTTTAGCGGGCGCGCGCACAACTTATTGCTGGTTTTACCCCCCTTATTCTACTCTCCAGGTACATAGTTTTGATACTGTCGTGTTCGTTAAAGTGTCCTCTATCTGTTGGCATTATCGGTAATATGGTTCGCGGACGTATTTTGCCGCAACACGGCCAGCAATAGATTTTAGCGGGCGCGCACACTACTTATGGCTGGAGTTATTGCCAGGTTCACGTCAATGTGGTTGCAAATAGTGATAGGCTACGGTTACTAACTTATGTTAGGCTAGTATGTATTGTTAACCCTATGGGACCAAACATCCCTAAGTTAGTTGTTAATAGGCAAATCAGCTTTCGGCCAGTTTAGTTTTGAGAAAAATAGCCTACCTATCATCCCCAGATAAGTATGTTTTAGGACACAAGCTTGTAGCCTGAACTGTCGGGGAAAAGCTCAAACATCAAGTTACAAAGCTTTGCCTAATTGAACAGCCTACATTTTTAGGAAAAGCTCCAAGTAACTTAGGCCTAGGCCCTAGGTAAGCATAGACTATACAATAATTTTCAATTTACTTGTAGAAAATATAGAGAAGATCAATAGACTTGAAGGGCATATAGTTTTAAACAACTAGGCCTAAAACTAAACTTAATGTTCGTAAGGCAATGCCCCACTTTTGAATGAGTGTGTAAAACTACTCGATTTTAAGAGAAGAGCAAGTTTAGGGTAAGATTGAAACTTACTTCCGAATTGAATTGTTTTACGACTTCCATCTTGACTGCTTAGTGCTTGAACAAACAAAGTAGAGATGATTAATTATTCTTGGCCAGTGGTGGAATAAGTTGTTGTCAAAGTGCAACAGGTTGCAACTGCAACAGTTTCAACTCGACAACAGTTTAATTAAACAGTTGCAGACAACAGGTTAGCTTTAGTTTACAGATTGTCCGCTAGAAGCGATACGTATACTATGTTGGGCGCAGCAGACCGTTCTAACCTGTTTCAAGAGTTGCAGACAACAGTTTAGCTGCAGCTGCGTTGGCGCTTCGTAGCCTATCTGCAGCCGAGAACCGAGAACTGTTTCGCGTGGTACAGACGATTCTTACATGTTTCAAAGAGTTGCAGACAAAAGGTTAGCTGCGGTAGCGCTTCGTAGTTGCAGTTGCAATTAATTATGAGAAATGTTTTGGGCTCACCTTTGACCTGTTTCACAATTTCACTCACTTCTCGTTGCTGGAAATGAGGACGTTTGATTAAAGTGTTACAAAACGGGATAGTAAAATTGTGGAATAACAAAACTTATTTTAATACTGCAATAATCTAAGAATAAAGAACAAAATAATAGTAATTATTAAAAAAAAAAAAACACATAATATGTAGATACAATATTTTGTGTTAACTAAATAAAACAATAATGTAAAAAATAAGAAAGAAATGTAGGAATAAATGCAGTACGGTAGTAAAAATAAATTAAACTAGCTGTACCCGCGGGCTTTGCCCCGTTTAACTTCATAAGTATTCGCATGGCTCAATTACGTCCTGGTTGAAGTTCGTTCGCTACGCTCACTCCCCTTTAGGTTGGAGCTCGTTCGCTGCGCTCACTTGCCTTCAGGTTAGCTCGTTCGCTACTCTAACTCGCCTCCAGGTTGAAGTTCGTTCGCTACGCTCACTCACCTTTTAGTTGCAAATTAGCTGTTGTCATAAATTAAAAAATAATAATATTGCTGCACCCTGTTGGTAATCCTTGTAACTTTAATGCTATACAGGGTTGGGCAAATGTGTGGATACCCCTGGTTAACTTTTTAACGCGTTGCAATAGGAAAACCTAACTCGAAACATATTTACAACATAAGAAATTGCACTTTTTCATCAAAGTTACAACTTTGCCCCAGCCCCCAAAATGGGGTATTTTGGGGGCAGCCCCAAATTTTCAAATGTAAACACCTATCATGTGACCCCTCATTTTAAAGGGTTTATTAAGAGAAATTGAATGGCGCAACCCAGAGGTCAATATCGCACGCCTAATCAAAATGGCAGCCATTTTAATTTAACATGAGCAATCATGATAAAGTCTGGACACCCCCAGTTAACTTTATAACGTGTGGCAGTGGGAAAACCAAACTTGGCACATGTTTACAACATAAAAAAATGCACTTTTTCATTTAAGTTAGAACTTGTACCCGGCCCAATGGGGGTGGTTGTTTGTACCCCAAATGGGGTATTTTGGGGGCAGCCCCAAATTTTTAAAAGTAAACACCTATCATGTGACCCCTCATTTTAAATGGTTTCTCAAGACAAATTAAATGGCGCAAACTAGAGGTCAATATCGCACCCCTAATCAAAATGGCAGTCATTTTGGAATATCCCCTATTAATTTTTTAACAGTTTATAGCAGGAAAACTGAACTCGGCATACCTTTATGAAAAAAAGAGAATTCACCTTTTGGTCAGTATTAAAATATTTAATTTTTAAAGTTAATTGGGGGTGTCTAGACTTTATCATGATTGCTCATCTTAAATAATTAAAATGGCTGCCATTTTGATTAGGCGTGGGATATTGACCTCTGGTTTGCGCCATTCAATTTCCCTTGATAAACCCTTTAAAATGATGGGTCACATGATAGGTGTTTACATTTGAAAATTTGGGGCAGCCCCCAAAATACCCCATTTTGGGGGCTGGGGCAAAGTTGTAACTTTGATGAAAAAGTGAAATTTCTTATGTTGTAAATATGTGCCGAGTTTGGTTTTCCTATTGCAACGCGTTTAAAAGTTAACTAGGGGTATCCACACATTTGCCCAACCCTGTATATCATTGACAGCTAGAAGTGAGAACTGATCCAAACAGCTGTTCGTTATTTCATAAAATGTAATAGTAGCCTAAACATTAGGAGAAAACTTGACAAAAATCGAACAAAATTGGGTTTTTGATGGTTCGTTATATTTTTTCAAAAGTAGTTAGGCCATATTTTAATAGCCAAAGACACTCTCGCCAATTCAGTGAATACAGAAAAATAATTGGAACCTTGATCTGTACTCTAGTTTTCAAGGAGTAGGCCGTGTAAAATGACATTTTGGCGTTACAGGAGGTGTCACAGAATGGACAAACAAACAGACATACAGACAGAAATTGAGATAAGACTCGTTTCGGCTTTCTTAGGCTATGAAACGTAAAAATAACCAAAAACTGCATGATTCTAAGCAATGTACAGACAAAACTGTAATTTTATTTATATAGATGAAAATCACATGTGATCATTGTCTGCATTTCACGCGCAGCTATTTACAACTGCAACAGCCAGTCGTACCTGCAGCACACCCCAGAACTGTTTCATTTAATTTGCAGTTAAATGTTGCCAGTAGTTGTCAAAAACGAAAGCGTTTACTGTGCAAGTGTGCAGTGCACCAGCGGCGGCGCGGCGCGGCGCCGTTCTGCAGCTGTTTAAAACAGGGTGTTTCGCGAAACAGTTTCATTTCGAAACAGTTTCAGCTCCGAAACAGTTTCAATAAAACAGTTGCAGTTCTTTTGTTCCACCACTATTCTTGGCTTAAAGTCAAATGGGATTAAAAACTTAACTACTTTCCATATTACAGTTTATGGCATAACAAAGTAAAAACACTGTCACATTCACTATTCACCCTTTCGCCCGTGTTAAAGACGCCATTATTATTCTGTCTGTAGTGTCTGTGCGTGACTAGCGACTAGACTAGCTAAGCTAGACTCTAGCTTAGCGACTGGTGAGCACTTTTTCACCTCAAATTAGTTGACGAATATCGATACTGGAAAATCGATACTTTTACCGCTCGATTGGCTCGATTGTTTTAGAGTAATCGAATCGGAATCGGAGTAAATTTTATTGGTTTGACTGAGACTGACTTAAAGCACGATTACTAGAAAAATACCGGTATGGATCATAAACATTAAAAAATGACGTTTTTGGCCCGAAAATAAACATGATTTATCATTGCTTAAATGGAACTAAAAGAGACCCCTTGAGCTGAATAAATTGATACTAAATAAACTGTTACATTCAATTCAATACTCTCTTGAGTACTATAATCATTTCGACCTCCAGACAAAAAATAAGATTAATGAAGGAATCATGAATAAAATTTCTAAGAACTGCGAGCAAGGTCATAATTCTCCAGACAAAAAATAAGATTAATGAAGGAATCAGGAATAAAATTTCTAAGAACTGTGAGCAAGGTCATAATTTTGTAAATTTTTAATTCATCATTAAGCTTTAAAATTATTAGTCTTAAGCAAGGAAAAGAGTAAATTACACTCCCTCTCAGGAATGAGGCATTTTGGCATTTTTTACAAGAGCTGGGTTGATACTAACAATAATAATACAAATTAGGTAATAGAAATGGCTTCCATCTGCCGTCTGATGATATTCAGTTTTGATTAAAACAAATTCTGGTCAATGAACATAACCTTAGCAATAAGCTTTTCAACTGTTGACATTGAATTTTATTCCCATTACTATCTACTGATAAATAGAAACAGAAGAAGAATTTGTTCGTAAGGTATTAACAAATGTATGTATTCTCTTAAAAAATTGACATTACGTCCCTAGGCGCTACAATTATATGTTCTTTCCTAAATCTACCATTATTAAATTCAAACTGTCAAGTCACAAGTCAAAGGAGAACGGGAATGGATGGAGTGGGAGTGGACTATCGATGTCGCGATGTACTAAATTCTAAAAACAATCGAGCTGTAAAAGTATCAATTTTCCAGTATCGATATTCGTCAACTAATTTGAGGTGAAAAAGTGCTCACCACTTAGACTGCCAGTAGTGCCAGTGCAAGTCCGAAGGAGACCTTGCCGTCAGACCGTCACCGCTCTTTTTTTCGTCTGTCTAGAAACGGGACAGCAGAATTTGAAATCGGAACGACGCTTCCCCCACTACTGCGCTGTGCCGAACGCTTCCGAATCTTACCGAGCAGTGCCGAACTTAAACGTCAAATTCGATGCTGTCTGTCGCGTGGTGTCAACAATGAATGTATGCCAGTTTTGCGATAAGACTTTTGTTAATCGGTGGGTTTTGTCTAGACACCTTCGTGAAGTTCACGAATTCATTGAGGGGGAAAAGAATATACCGAAAAATAAATACAATTTGCAGCGTATGCAACAGTGCATTTAGTAGAGCGGAAATAGAGACACATTTTGCAGATCTGCACAAAATTCAACTTGTCAAGTCAGTTTTTAGTTTTTCTAGTGCGTCAGATTTCTACACTTGGAAAAGCAAGACGGAGGAAAAGGAAAATGTGTTGTTCACAAAACAAACAGGACAGAGGATTCTATCTGGTAAGAAGAGAATTGATTTTAAGTGCAATAGATCGGGAAACTTTGAACCTAAGCCTATATCCGGCAAAAGAAAAAGGGAAACAAAGATACAGGGTTCCTGCAAAATAAATGGTTTCTGTCCTTCCTCAATAAAGGCAACGTTTTTTGAAAGTGGAAATGTCGAAGTAGAGTACTGTGAGACTCATGTAGGCCACACTTTTGACCTAGCTCACAAACCATTGACCTTTGATGAACGTCAAGATATCGCCGGAAAAATATCAAATAAAATTCCTTTTGGCACAATACTTGAAGAAGTTCGGTCAACTTTGCAACCAAACTCGCTAAAAAGAATACATTTACTGACGAAACAAGATCTGTATAATATTGAAAAAGAATTCGGTCTTAATGAGACTATGCGTCATTCGAACGATGCCATTAGTGTCGAAGCATGGGTACAAGGCCAAAAGGGTGAAAATGACTGTGTTTTGTTATATAAACCACAAGGGGTTGATGAAACTGCCACATTCGCCAAGAACGA